TTGATGGAAGTGACCTACATCTTGACTGAATTGATGTCAATATCCTGGTTGGGACCTACAAGCAATGTGCAAAAGACTTGAAAACACTGTCAACCAACTAGACCTAACAGACATATATAAACACTTCCTCCAACAACTGCGAAGCACACATTCTTCTAAAATACACAGGGAATATTCTTCAGAATAAATTATGTTAGGCCACAAAAGAAATCTCAATAAATTTAACATTTTGCAGTCATATGAAGTATATTATCTGATCACTATGAAATGAGATTAGAAATAAATCTGGATGGTAAATTCACAAATATGCAGCAATTAAACAACACACTCTTATACAACCAACAGACCAAGAGTAAATCATAAGGGAAAATAGGAACTCCTTTAAGAAGAATAAAAATGAAAACAAAACACTTCAAATATTATGGGATGCAGTGAAAACAATGCACAGAAAGAAATTTATAGCTATAAATGCCTACACTTGAAAAGAGGAAAGGTTTCTTTTTTTTTTTTTTTTTGAGACGGAGTCTGGCAATGTTGCCAGGCTGGAGTGCAGTGGTACGATCTTGGCTCACTGCAACCACTGCCTCCCAGGTTCAAGCAATTCTCCTGCCTCAGCCTCCTGAATAACTGGGATTACAGGTGCCTGTCACCACACCCAGCTAATTTTTTGTATTTTTAGTAGAGTTGGGGTTTTACCATGTTGGCCAGGCTGGTCTTGAACTCCTGACCTGGTGATTCTCTTGCCTTGGCCTCCCAAAGTGCTGAGATTACAGGCGTGAGCCACCACACCTGGCTAAAAGATTTCAACTTAGTAGCCTAACTTTCCATGTTAAAGAACTAGAAAAAGAAAATAAAATAAACTCAAATCAAACAGAAAAGAAAAGTAATGATTACAGCAGAGAGAAATAAAAGAGAATATAAAAATAGAGATAATGAACCCAAAAGTTGGTACTCTGAAAAGACCACAAAACAAAATTCACAAACCTTTAACAAGACAGAAAAAAAAGAGCACTCAAATTATGAAAATCAGCAATGAAAGCAAGGAAGTTACTAGAGAGAGAGAGATTCAAAAATCCTCAACAAAATTCTAGCAAACTGAATTCCAGAAGCATACTAAAGATCATACACTATGACAAGGTAGGGACTTATCTCAGTAGTAGTTCAATATAGGATGATCAATCACTAAAATACACCATATTAATAGAATGAAGGAAAAAACTACTCAGGATCATCTCGGTTGATTAAAGACCATTTAACAACATCTGACACCCTTTCATCATGAAAACAGTCAATAAACTAGGAATAGAAGAGAATTTCCTCAACCTGATAAAGGGTATCTATGAAAAACCCACAGAAAACATACTTTATGGTGAAAGACTGAAAGTTTCCCCCATAAGATCAGAAACAAGACATAGATGTCCACACTTGCCACTTCTCTTCGACCTAGTACTGGAAATTTGAGCCATGGCAATTAGCAATAAAAAGAAATAAAAGGTATCCAGGTTGGACAAAAAGAAGTAAAATTATCTCTATTTACTAAAGCTACAATCTTATATGTAGAAAATACCAAAGAATACACATAAAAAGAAATTCTCATATCTCATAAGCAAAGAATTTAGCAAAGTTGCAGGATAAAAGATCAACACACAATAACCGGTTGTATTTCTGTACACTAGTGATGACAATTTGAAAATGAAATTAAGAAAGCAATTTTATTTACAATAGCATCTAAAAGAATAAAATATTTAGAAATAAATGTAACCAAGGAGGTGTAAGAATTCTATACCTAAAACTACAGAACACTGCTCAAAGAAATTAAATACCTAAATAAATACAAAGACATCCCATGTTCTTGTATTGGAAGAAAATATTTTTAAGATGGCAATACTCCCCAAAGTAATTGCAACCCCTTTTAAAATTCCAGAGGCTTTTATGCCATAAAATGGAAAAGTCAATTCTCAAATTCATATGGAATTGCAAGGGAGCTTGGTTATCTAAAACAATCTTGAACAAGATGAATGTAGGAAAACTCGCACTTCCTTATATCAGAACTTACTATAAGGCAACATTAATGTGGTACTGGCATAAGGACACACACACAGGTCAACAGAATAGAACTGAAAATCCTAAAATGAAACCTCAGTTTTATGGTCAATTGGCTTTTGACAAGGGGCTCAAGCCCATTCAAGGAGAAAGAATTATCTTCTCAAAAGATGGTGCTGGGACAACTGCATACCCACTCATAGCATGTACAAAAATGGCCAGGCGCGGTGGCTTACGCCTGTAATCCCAGCACGTTGGAGGCCGAGGCAGGTGGATCACGAGGTCAGGAGTTTGAGACCAGTCTGGCCAATATGGCGAAACCCTGTCTCTACTAAAAATACAAAAATTAGCAGGGTGTGGTAGCACACTCCTGTAAGCCTAGCTACTCAGGCTGAGGAAGGAGAATCACTTGAACCCGGGAGGCAGAGGTTCAGTGAGCCGAGATCACGCCACTGTACTCCAGCTTGGGTGACAGAGTGACACTCCATCTCAAAAAAGAAAAAGAAAAAATCAACTCACAATAAATCAAAGATCTAAATGGAAGAGTTAAAACTGTAAAACTCCTAGAAGAAAATATAGGGTAAATCTTCTTGGCCTTGAATTTGGCAATGAATTATTAGATATAATGCCAAAAGCACAAACAATTTAAAAAAAATAGGCAAATTGGACTTCATTGAAATTAAGAATTTTCATGCATTAAGAACACTATCAACAAAGTGACAGCATGGCCCACAGAATGGGAGAAAATATTGTCAAATAATACATATGATAGGGGTTTGGTACACAGAATATATGAAGAACTCTCACAACTCAACAACAAAAAGACAAGATGATTTAAAAATGGGCAAAGCAGTGAATAGAAATTTCTCCAAAGAAGATATACAAATGGCCAACAAGCATGTGAAAAAACGTACAACATCAATGGTCATTAAAGAAACAAAAATCAAAACGACAATAAGATATCACATCATACCCTCCAGAGATCACTTCACACCCTCCACGCTCCGATTTTGTCAAATAAAAAAAAAAACAAAAGTTGGTCAGAACATGGAGAAATCAAGAAGACCCTTGTTCATTACTGGTGGGACTTTTACTTGCCATACCTGCTGTGGTAAAGCTAGGGTGGTTCCTCATAAACAGCCATATACCCGTGATCATTGAAATCAGGTGTTCAAACAAAACAAGTCTTTAACATTCTATACAAATGTTCACAGAAGCCTTATTTATAATAGCCAAAATGTGGAAACAACTCAAATGTCCATCAACTGATGAACAGAGAGGCAAAATGTGGTCTATCCACACAAAGGAATATTATTCAGTCATAAAAAAGGAACGAAGTACTGACACATGCTACAACACAGAAGACCCTCAAAAACATGATGCTAAGTGAGAGAAGCCAGACACTAAAGGCCACGTTTGGTTTTTCAGGCAGGCTCTTGCTCTGTCACCCGGGCTGGAGTGCAGTGGTATAATCATAGCTCACCACAGTCCCATTCTCCCAGGCTCAAGTGATACTCCCACCTCAGCCTCCTGAGTAACACATGCCACTATGCCCAGCTAATTTTTTTGGTTTTTAGTAAAGACAAGGTGTCTATGTGTTGCCGAGGCTGGTCTCTAACTCCTGAGCTCAAGCAATTCTCCCACCTTGGCCTCCCAAAGTGTCGGGATTACAGGCGCCAGCCACCACATCCAGCCAAGGCCACATTTTATATGTTTTCATTTATATGAAATGTCCAAAATAGACAAGACCATAGAGACAGAAAGGAGATTAGTGGTGGCCAGGGGAAGAAGGAAATAAGAAGTGACTGCTCATTGGTTTGGGGTTTCATTTTAGGTTGAAAAATATGTACTATAATTAAATAGTGATGATAGTTGCACAACTTTGTGAATGCACTGAAAACCACTGAATTGTATGTTTTAAAATTGTTAGTCATGACTTTTATGTTATGTGGATTTTACCTCAATTTTTTAAAGACATTGTTTGTGCTCATTGTGAAATTTTGAAAAAATACAGTTACATAAATTAAAAGTGAACATTCCTGTCTTCTTCCATTACTCAGAAATAATCATCATGTTTTGCTGTGTGTCCTTCTAGACGCTTCTGTCATACAAACACACCATGATTAGATTTGAGGTTTTGTAAATTGGGATGACAATCATAATCCGTCTGGAACCTTCTTGATTCATTTAATGTGAGCACCTTTCCTCATCAGCACACATAACAAATGCTTTACATTCTGTTTTTAACAACTTCTTCAGTTTCTGTAGAATAGAGAAACTACCATTTTTATAACCACTGTCCTCTAAATAGATGTTTAGAATGCATACAACTTTTTGCTATTATTAACAATGCTGTAACTAACAACTTTGTGCATGTATCTTTGCATACCTGAAGAGGTAATCCTACAGAATGGATTGATTAAATTTGAATTGCATGCATATGTATTGCATGTTCTGTCAAGAAGTCACCTGGGGGTCTGGGAGAATTAGCTGGTATCTTTCCTTGCCACCCCAATGGCACAAGGGGCAGTTCTGGCAAGGAAAGAACCTTGAGGGCTGTTACCATCAGAGGAATAAGGCTATGTAGGAGACAGAACTCTGGAGTTGCCACTTCCCAGAACTGTGACTCCAGCATTTCTCAGAGCTTCCATTTTCCAATTTAGAAAAATGTGGCTCACGCCTGTAATCCCAGCACTTTGGGGGCAGAAGTAAGCAGATCATTTGAGGTCAGGAGTTCGAGACCAGCCTGGCCAAAATGGTGAAACTGCATCTCTACTAAAAATACAAAAAAAAAAAAAAAAGCTGGGCGTGGTGCACCCACCTGTAATCCAGCTGCTGGGGGAGGCTGAAGCAGGAGAATCGCTTGAACCCGGGAGATGGAGCTTGCAGTGAGCTGAGATCCCGCCACTGCACTCCAGCCTGGTCGACAGAGCAAGACTCCATCTCAAAAAAAAAAAAAAAAAAAGTATCCAAAACATGAAAACGATGCAAAAAGTCGGCTGTCTAATGAGTTCATTCAATTATTTAACTTAATGATAACAAAACATTAATTATCCAGGGGATGTACCTTTGTTTGATTTGCTATTTGCTATTATTAAGGCTCAAGCTCTGTGAAGTTGCAAATTAACTTGTAAACTTCTGAGTTGTGGATATGCATGATGCTGCTTGGGTTCTCCATGATCCTGACTGAAATGGAGATGCACCTACATGAGTCTCTTTAGAGGGTACTCTTGGGGTCACCATGTGTGTAAAGGAAGAGAAAGAAGAAGAATTGGACAGAAGAAGTTGAGCTCAGATGCTGGGCAACATGTAAGTGTCTACACAATGCAAATACAAACAATTTTTATCTGAAATAGAAAAGATAACTGCAAAAGTTGGGATGTTATTGCCCTGTAGGACATGAAATAGTTATGTTTCTAGCTTAGCAAATTTATTTTAGCATGCCTTTCCCAGTGGACCATATATATCTCAGTTCCTCAAATGTTCTTTGAACCAGCTCTATCATCCTGCTGCTTTCCTTGTTAATGAGTTAAATAAATCTTTAGCATGTTCTTACTATGTATTTGAATAAGTCGTATTTTCAGCTATTTTTAAATTATTCATTGATAGCTACTCCCTGCTTCAAATGTCCGTGGCTTCCCAGTGCTCCTAGAATAAAATCCAAACTCCTTCTCGTGGCCTGTGAGGCCTTGTACGTTCTGGCCTTTGTTTGACTTCATGACATTGCCCTCTGGTCTGCTGCATTCCAGGCACACAGGCTTTATTATTATGCCCTTCTAGACCATCTCAAGGCTTCTGAAGAAGCTGGCATCTCTATTGGGAATTTTCAGTTTATCCCAGAATCCCACCTTCCCAGCCCTCAAGTCTCAGCTTACAAGACACCTTCTCTGGCCACTAGAGCTATACTTCCTATACCGTGCCCCCCACCCCATTCCTCATCACTCTCTGTCATCTCCTCCTTCTTCTGCATAGAACTGAGTCATTTCTGACATGATCTTGCTCATTTATTTGCGTATTTAAATATTGTTTATCGCCCTGTCAGCTGTGGGAGCCCCAAAAGACTACCAGAAAAACCTGTTCATCAACAAAGCTAAGTGTACAAGAAGTTCTGCAATAAGGGACAGGACAACCTTAACAGAGTCTCAGTAGTGTACTGAAAATGGAAATTTAAAAATATATATATATATTTGTGGCCAGGCGCAGTAGCGCATGCTACCTGCCTTTGGGAGACCAAGGTGGGTGGACCACCAGAGGTCAGGAGTTGAAGACCAGCCTGGCTGACATGGTGAAACCCTGTCTCTACTAAAAATACAAAAATTATCTGGGCATGGTGGCAGGTGCCTGTAATCCCAGCTACTCAGGAGGCTGAGGCAGGAGAATCACTTGAACCCGGGAGGCGAAGTTTGCAGTGAGCTGAGATCGCACCCTTGCACTCCAGCCTGGGTGACAAGAGTGAAACTTCATCTCAAAATACATATATATATATATATATTTGTAGGGTTTTAGGTCCTGAGACAGATGATTTTAAGACAGATTTTGCAAGGTAAAGAACTGATTGAAATTGGGCAGAGTTGATGACATACCGTCCTGGATTGGTGGGCAGAGGAAGGCGGGGGTCTTGAATCAAACTTATTTTGTGTAGCATGCAGCAAAGTTAGTTTTTGCTGGGTCCCTGCATTGTTTAACACAGAAACAAGGAACTATGCTAGTTCAATTCTCTACCCATAAGTAGACAGCCTGCTCCCTAAAAGCAGAAACCCTATTCATCTTCTTATTCCTGCTTCTTACTGTATGCCAAGAGCCTAGCCCGGGGTCTGCTGCGTATGTTAAATAAGTATTTGTTGATTATATTAGCAAATTATTACTTTGTCATTAAACGTGGTTGGGACCCTGGGCAAGACACTTTACTTCTGCAAAATAAAGATAGATAAATGTATTGAGTTCCTGCCATTGGCCAGATACCCTCTTAAATGCCATAAATTCTGTTATAAACGAAGCTAGGTTTTCACTCTTATGGAACTGAAACTCTGGTGCAGAAAGGCAGACAATACAGAAGCTAACAAATGAAGAAACAAAGTAATAGCAAACTGGGGGAAGCCCACATTTATGTGGAACTCTTGCTAGTAAGCCAGGTGCATTTTTTGAGAAGGAACCTAGAGAAAAGTTACACTCCAGTGAAACTCATTCTTTGTTAGGTGATCACACTCAAAAGCTGGTGTTGGCAACAAGCTCTCAGATATGAAAAATAAGCCCAAAGGCTAACATTTGATCAGAATTCTTTATCATTTAAATTCTATTTTCTTTTATATCCTAGCTTTAAACTAGTACAAGCATTAGAGTGTGGTGATTCTATTTACAGTAATGGTGGTGATAGTAATATGTGTTGACACTTCTTTTGGGAATCTTTCTGTTCTAAATATTTGTAAGGGATGTACCTTTCGAATTGAACATAAATGGATGTAAATAAAGAGGATTTTTGTTGGAGTATTTGAAACTTAGATCGTAGTGTGGACTTAATCATTGAAAAAAAAATGGTTTTTTTAAGAAAATGCTGAGCAAATGTTCCTTTTTTCTCAATGATTTGTAAGATTTGCTTTTTGGTTGGGAACTTTTTAAAATCCTCCCAAGGGGACTTAATACCTGGTCTCTGTCTGAGAGCTTTTAAAAGGCTCCTCGACTCCTTCAGGTTTCAAAGTGCTCTTTGGTCGAGGGTTGCCAGGGTGAGGAGAGGGCAACCTTGGGGCACTAAAATCATTTCAAACTCCTGGTTGATGCCCATTCACAGCAAACAATACAGAGTGAAGGTGAAACGCCTCAATTCCAGAGACAGAAGGTCCAGGCCCTACTCCTGACCCTGCTTCCTCCCAAATGAAACCTTGCACAAAGCACTGAGCTCTTTTGAACCTCTGTTGCCTTATGGTAACATGGGAGGAAAGGGAGCAGTTCCCGTGTTGAGGGCTCGCAATGACGTATCTGGGACTCCTGACCTTGCCCCTAAATCGTAGCTGTCATCGTTCAGAATAAAACATCATCTCTGATCTCTAGAGCTTACCCTCTGTAGGGGAGAGAAATGTGTCACCAGTAAGTACCATAGATGAGGGTAAAACTACAGGAGGAGCCAGGGCCCGTGGGAACTCTGCAGTGGGGTGTGGAGGGAGGCCGCTGCAGCTACTGTCAGAACTATAGGTAAGAATTCGCAGAACAGAGAAGGTGGAAGCAGGAAGGTCTGATATCCTGGCAGTGGGACCTGATTATATGAAAACATGGTGTGGAAAAAAAAAAAAATAGGTCAGTTTAGGAACAATGTTACTGAGATAGGTGGGGAAGGGTGTGGCAGGAGGCAGTGGAAGGTAAGAAAACTCTGCTTCCCTGGGAAGACCTGGGTTTGGCCTCTGTTATCCATGATTTTAGAACTGCCCAGTCATCCAGCCATGCTGACCACTGCGGCTGTCCCGTGGCCCTGGATCCCTGGAGAAAGCCGCTGTGAAGCCCCCATCCAAGCTTTCACGCCCATTCCCAAGAGAGAGAGGGTGCTGTGCCTGCCTTGCCTCTCACATGTTTGCTACAATCCTAAAACTCTTCTGACACTGAAGAAAAGCTGTTTCCACTTACAACTCTTAAGAGGGAATCAGGCCTTTCTGCGCTGAGGCCCAGGGTGGAACATAACCGTGATTTACACACCGTAAACTTTTGTGAGTTTTATTCACCTCAGTGGGCTGATATTACACATTAAGCGCATGGGAGAACCTCAGTGACTGCAGGCTTTCTGTGCAGCCCAGCACTAGGTTTGGAGAAAGACAAAGCAGGAGAGGCAAACGCAGAGCATGCCCTGGTTTCAGATGCCTGGTCACGCCCCGTCAGCATCAGAGGTTGCAAATTCCTGCTCTAAAGGCCAAAGTCCAGCTCACTACAGTTCTGCTCAGCTGACACAATAAGGACCTATGCCTTCTTGAAAAAAAAAAAAAAAGTTTGTCATATACAATGCAAAAGAGCAAAGTGGGTGGGAGAGTAGTTGATGGGGTTATATACCCAACTTAGTCCCCCCAGCAGGGAGGCTCCGTGAGAACGGGACTTCATATCTGGGTGGCTGTCTGCAGATCAGTTCCGGGCACATAGTAGGAAGCTCAGAGTTGGCCTTTTCTGCTCCTCAGACACCCTGTATCCCTTCACACCTAGTTCCATGACCTATGAAAGCACAAATTCCTCCCCTAACCTCCAGCTCTGCCTCCTTCTTCTAGGTCCCCATCGCTGCCCTTGGGCAATCATCCAACAGCCCAGAAAGGGTTTCTTCTTAGGGACCCACTTCACTGAGCATGAGTTCTGCTGAGTTAGGCAGCCTCCTCAAAAACATGGGGAGGTTCTCTGCCTCCAGCTCCTAGGTCCCCATCGCTTTGCCTCCAGCTCCTAGGTCCCCATCGCTGCCCATGGGCAATTATCCAACAGCACAGAAAGGGTTTCTTCTTGGGGACACACGAACACTTCATTGAGCATGAGTTCTGCTGAGTTAGGCAGCCTCATCAAAAACCTGGAAAAGAAGCAGCCTTCCTCCAACTCTGCACCTTCCTTCTCTCCTCTGCATTCATTCTTGGTCCTCTCCCTTTCTCCTGAATCACCAGGGAAGTTCCAAATGTTCTTCCTCATTTATGGAGCGTTTTGGTTCTCCCTGACAGCTAGTCCCAGGCTCTTGCACTCAATTAAACATCCATTTCAGTAGTCCAGTGATACCATCAGACCCAACATTTAGGAGGATAACCCGTCTTCAAAGGTGTGTGGAATTATAAATAGTAAGAAATGCTTTCTTTTTAAGGGATTCACACTTAGTTCAGAGAGAAAGGCCAAATCCCATTCAAGAGAAACAAGATTTGGTTTTCCTGAGATTAATCTAGAATTGTTATATATTAATTACTGATTGCATAACAATTGCTCCAAAACTTAGTGACTTAAAACAACATTAATCCTTTATTATCTCACATGTTTTCTATAGGTAGGAATTTGTGAGTAGCTCCGCGTGGCCCTTGTGGCTTGGGGATCTCCCATGAGGTTGCCGACAGAGGTCAGCCAGGACTACCGCCATCGGAAGCCTTGGCTGGGGCTGGAGGATCCATGTGAACAGTCTAGAGAGCAGTCACAACACAGCTGCTGGTGCGAGGCTGCAATTCCTCTCCATACCATCATCATCTCCTCAGAGCTCTTTGAGTGTACTTATAGCATGGCCGCTGACTTCCTCCAGAGCAGGTGATCCAAGCCATCAGTGTGGAATTTACAAGACCTTTCACAATCTAGTTTCATAAATCACACACCACCTCTTCCACCATATTCTGTTGGATGCATGTGCAGACCAGCTCTGATTTCATGTTAGGAAGAGACTGCAAAAGGGCATGAATGGCAGAGGGCAAGGACACCTGCGGGCAGGTGGCATCTTGGAAGCTACCGAGACTACCACAACCAGCTCATAATTTATCTATTGTTTTTCTAATGTCTGTCCTTTTTCCCCCATCAACTCCTGTTGTCACTTCCATTTCTGCCAGTTTGGTAGCCTTGGTCCATTAGCTCTTACGGCTCTTTTACTTCCTGATTTAGGGTTCATCTCCTCCTTCCTCTGAGAGTTAAAAATAAATTATACACTTGGTAATCATAAAATGGAGATTTCACACCCACCTCCATACAACTGTTGTGTAATAAATGTGCATAACTTGCCTCCTGCAGCACCTGGCTCAAATTAGGTGTACAATAAATGTTAATGGCTCTGACTATTATTATTATTATTTCTATTACCATTATTACTAACTTGATCACTATCGATACAACTATACCATTAAGACCTGCCTTGTGAAAAGTCTAGCCTGGAAACGTTCTCCTGTAAATGGGGAAGGAAATGAATGGTAGAGACCATGAAAAGCTGCATTTCCCCTTTACCCACCTTCGTGGCCTTCAACACACAGTAGCATTCAAAAGAAACCCTCATCAGTCCCCTAGCGCCTTGGAAAATAACCTCAGTTTCTACTGAAGTCTTTGGAAAAGGAAACAAGAAAGGATGAGGGTCTCATCCCAGAGCCTAAAGCCACATCGAAATTCCTCTCTAGACCTCCCTTCTCTCCCTGCCTCCCTACCCTAGCAATTGCTTTTCTAAGTCTGAGCCTTGCTGCTCTCCTCCAAAACTCCAGCCTGTCTCCCGTATCTTCTTCTGCCTAATCTTCCAAACTTTCCGACCTCCTTTTTCCTTCTTGAAGAAGATTCGAAGGATAAATTGAAATGAGTGTTTACACTTAACATTGTGCAACATCCAAGCACTTCCTAGAAATCACTGCACTATTACTTTACCCTAGAAATCCATTGTTACTGTGTCTTATAGACACATTAGTCCACAAAAGATTACGTGAAATAACAAAAACAAAAACAAGCTGATCATTCACCAAAAACAATTTTGAGTAACTCTAGAGTTCCCAGGAAACACCTGAGCTGTATGTCCAAAATTCCACTTCTCTGCTGCTTTGGGGATCTTCCCGCATGCGGTGACCTGCGCATCCTCAGCGAGAGGCAGGCAGCCAGACCCCAGCTCCGTCCCCACCAGCTGTGTTGTTTTTCCAAAGCTGCTCTTTCCCATTCTCGTTTTCCTTAGCCTCACAGAGTTATCTGAAGATATACAAGACGGTGCTCACCAAGCATGAAGCACAGCGCCTGGCACTGAGAAAGTACTCAATACGTAGTAGCTATTTGATCCCTGGTAATATTATTCATGGGCTAGCAGAGCTATTCACTTTCTCAGCAAGTGACTTCAGTTCCTGAGACAGAACCAGAGGAGCTGTCTCCTTTACAGATGGGGCTCAGAGATGGGAAGAAGTTTGCCTGTATCACCCAACAACAGAACAGAGCTAGAACACAGAACTCCTGATGGGCAAGCCCTCTGTTAACCAGTGTATGAAAGATGATAAGTGGGAAACTGCTGGAAACCGCAAAAACACTGTGTTCCACGAGTGCTTGGTGATTTGGAAAGCTACAGAGTAAGGATTCAAGTCTGACACCACCACAGTGAGCCGGCACATCCATTTTTAGCCTTTCAGTTTCTGAATCTGTAGAAAGGTAAAAATAATAACATCTATTTCACAGAGTGGCGGTGAGGAGTTCAGGTAGAAAACATATGTAAGGAACTTGCTAAGTAATGGGGTATTGGGGTAACTCCTTATGCTTATGGGATTCGGTTGCACTTTTAGAAACACATAAAAAGAGGTCGGACACAGTGGCTCACGCCTGTAATTCCAGCACTTTGGGAGGCCGAGGCGGGCGGATCACAAGGTCAGGAGATCGAGATCATCTTGGCTAACATGGTGAAACCCCATCTCTACTAAAAATACAAAAAATTAGCCAGGCATGGTGGCGGGCACCTGTAGTCCCAGCTACTCGGAAGGCTGAGGCAGGAGAATGGCGTGAACCCAGGAGGCGGAGCTTGCAGTGAGCTGAGATCAAGCCACTGCACTCCAGCCTGGGTGATGGAGCAAGACTCTGTCTAAAAATAAATAAATAAATAGAAAGAAAGAGAGGATAGAAAGAAAGAAAGAGAGAGAGAGAGAGAGAGAGAGAGAGAGAGAGAAAGAAAGAAAGAAAGAAAGAAAGAAAGAGAAAGAAAGAAAGAGAAAGAAAGAAAAGAAAGAAAGAAAGAAAGAAAGAAAGAAAGAAAGAAAGAAAGAAAGAAAGAAAGAAAGACAGACAGACATAAAAAGATAGGTCCCCTCCCTCTGAATTCCCATAGTACCCTACTGCTGTGTAGGGGCTCCCCTCAGCTGAGTTCACTGAGCCCCCTGGTATGAGCTTGCACAGGGAGGCATAGGCCTTTGTAACATGGAAATATTCACTAATGAACTGGCCATTTAACAAACTGAGTCCTGCTCAGATATGGCTTCCCTTATCTGAGTTCCCTTGGTGTGCAGAGGCGGGTCCATGCTCTTGTCATTTCTGCTGACTGCCCTGTGCTGTCACCCAGCAGTACAACCTAGCAAAAATACAGGATCACACGAAATCAAGAGAGTCATGTTGGCTAACGGCTCCAATCACTCAGCAAGGCTTTGACAAGTGGGGAAATGGTGGAGTTAGAACAGTTTACAATTGATGAAAAGATCTTTATAAATGATAGCACCTCAAAGACAGTTTAAATAGCAACATTTAAAATGAGGCTTAGGAAAACAGGCAAAACCCTCAAATATTTTTATAAAACCAATCCTCTCTGTGATGTGCTGTGGAAGTCATTGTGATCTGAAGGGTACGTACATAGCATGCTAAAGCCCAACGCCATTCGTTAGGTTAAGATTTTGCTCACAGGTGCAATTGTAATGTATATTTTGTTGAACATAAGATAAAAATAAACGTCTATTGTGACCTTTTCATTTCATTTTTCAAGATAAAATCCCAGTCACACTTTTTATTTCACTATATTTGCTATGAAATTCTAGTTTCATATTTTAAAGTATCCACTTAAGTGAACTTTTCCTGCTGCAACTTGTCCTGGAAAAATGAGAATCTCTTTCTCTTTATTCTGGTTTCTGACTTGCTCTTCCTTCTACCTGGGATGCTTCCCTCCCAGACATTCATGTGACTGCTGCCTCATTTCTTTAGGTTTTTGTCAAATATCTCCTTTTCTATTTCCTTCCTTCCTTCCTTCCTTCCTTCCTTCCTTCCTTCCTTCCTTCCTTCCTTCCTTCCTTCCTTCCTTTCCTCCCTCCCTCCCTGCCTCCCTCTCTCTCTCTCTTTCTTTCAACAGTTTCACTTTAGTCCCCCAGGCTGGAGTGCAGTGGTGTGATACGGCTCACTGCAACCTATGCCTCCAGGGTTCCAACGATTCTCCTGCCTCAGGCTCCCGAGTAGCTGGAATTACAGGCACCCGCAACCACGCCCAGCTAATTTTTGTTTTTGTTTTTGTTTTTTTGAGACAGAGTCTCGCTCTGTCACCCAGGCTGGAGTGCAATGGCACAATCTCGGCTCACTGAAACCTCCACCTTCCAGGTTCAAGTGATTCTCCTGCCTCAGCCTCCCAAGTAGCTGGGATTATAGGTGCATGCAACCACGCCCAGCTAATTTTTTTTTTTTTTTTTTTTTTTGTATCTTTAGTAGAGACAAAGTAGTAGGGGTTTAGTAGGGGTTTCACCATATTGGTCAGACTGATCTCGAACTTCTGACCTCATGATCCGCCTGCCTCAGCCTCCCAAAGTGCTGGGATTACAGGTGTAAGACACTGCACCCAGCTAATTTTTGTATTTTTAGTAGAGACGGCGTTTCACCATGTTAGCCAGGCTGGTCTCAAACTCCTGACCTCAGGTGATCCACCCACCTCAGCCTCCCAAAGTAACAAAGTGCTAGGATTACAGGTGTGAGCCACCACACCCAGCCAAGTGTCTCCTTTTCAGAGTGTTCTTCTAAATCTCCCCATCAAAAGAAAGCCTCATGTACACAAACACATACACACTTACACACACATACACATCACACTTCTGCACATCAGTACTCGCCTGCACACACACATACTCCTACATGCAACCTTCACACACATCTACAACTACACAAAAACACACCACACACACACCTGCACATGTGCACACACATTCCTGCACACACCCACACATAATCCTCCTATCTATTCCTCTCTACTCCCCATCATGCTTTACTTTTCTCCATAACATTTATATCATCTGGCATGTTAAATATGTTTTTTGATTATTTGTCTATTAGCTGCCAAAAGATCAGAAACTTTATTCATTTCACTCACCATTTTGTCTCCAGTAATAGGCAGATAGGAGGCCCTCAAATATTTGTGGGATGGATGAATGGGTGGGTGTGTGGGTGAGTGTGTGGGTGGATGGGAAGGTCTATGGATGGGTGGATGGAAGGAAGAGTAGATGGGTGGATGGGTAGATGGGTGTGTGGGTGGATGGATGGATAGGGGAATGGATAGGTGGATGGATAAGAGGGTTTATGGGGTGGAAGGATGGGTGGGTGGTTGGATGGATGGGAGGGTGGGTGGGTGAATGGGTGGATGAGTGGGTAGATGGATGGGATGGGTGTGTGGATAGATGGGAGGGTGGATGGGTGAATGAATGGGTGAGTGGGTAGATGAATGGGAGGGCGGGTGGGTGAATGGATCCCGAAAGAACTTAGGGCATTTTGTTGAAATATTCTACTTAATTCTACACCTTCACTTCAGACTGGAGATGCCCTGAAGGCAGGTCTATGGCCTCTTTGTGCCTTTTTAACTGGTGTTTTAGGAAGCCTGATACAGATTTTTCACAAATACCAGTTGGGCTGATAGAAAGTCCCAGCAGAGTCTTCCCCACTCTCAACTTCTGAGTATCCTTTAAAAGGCCCAGCTCCAAACTCTGACATCTGTAGAAGGTGCTGCTCCAAGGCCCAGGCCCGTGACTTTGCCCTGAGTGTCCCTGTGTTGTATAAGCAGGAAAACAGAGGACCGTAAAGCACTGAGGAAACCCCAAAATAAGCACTGAACCCCGAAGGACTCAGGGCATGGGCGGGAATAAGACGGAGAGGCGGCAGGAGGGTCTGTGAGGTGACTGTGGTAGGTCAGTTTGGAGCACAGCGTCCTCAATGTTGGCTTCCACTGCAGATTTATTAAAAACACCAATCTAATATACAGCTGAGAAACTGAGGCTCAAAAAGTTGAAGGAGCTCTCCAAGGGCCACATGTCAGTAAGTGGTGGCGTCAAGACTCCAACCCAGGTTTGATGTACCCCAGGTTTAAAATTATCTC